CAGATATAGATTCTTTTAAGGAAAAAATATTACAAGAAATAGATTTTTGAAAAAAAATATTACCAACAATAAAAATTTTGTCGGCATTAAATAACCCATTGAGGTTGATATGCCGTAAACCAAACCAAACCAAACCAACTCGTTATTTATATGTTCCTACTTTTTTCTTTTTATTTTATTTATTTTTTTATTTTATTTATTCATTTTTATTTATTTCTTTATTTTTATTTTTTATTTTTTGCTATCACAATGTTTCGGCCGTTGTGTTCCCCGGCCATCATCAGTAACCTTGAAGGAATTCCGAATTTTAATATTTAACCTACGGCATCCATGTCCAGAGATATGTAGCCTAGTTCTTATTTAGTACTGCTCAGTTATTGCTCACTTCGTTTCTATTGATTTCAATCACACACTGCCCGACCTATGGATTGAACTTACAATTACTATGTCACCAAATTCATTGCACTACGCTATTTTATCTTGGGACAATTCTGAGTGGAGAACTTGGAGTCTTAAACCTAACCTACCTGTTGACATGGACAACGGAATGAGAACAAATTGCCTCTGTAAATTAGTGTGTAAATTGCTCTTGAGTAGTTTGTAGTTTTCATTTATCTCTCAGTCTCGTCTCTGTCTTTAGGCAGTTTCTTTCCGAATCATATCAACTTATCCGGATGTTGTTGGCTGAATTCTTTGAAGTCCGAATTAAAAGTTTTTAGCTTGAAAGAAACTTTTCTTATTGGTGTTAGAATATAATTATTAATTTGATTTGAGTTTGAATGCTTCAGGTTAGAACAATATCGGGTACATTTCTCTAGACTTGCTCAAGAGCGTGGTTCCAAAGTCGACTGGCCAGTTAGTGCCAATCTTTGGAATTGACTGCACGTTTACTACAGCCATCCATATTCTCTCGCCGTTTACAGCTTAGTTACATCACTGATGTGATATTCGATCAAGTCATCTTCCAAATAAGACATTAATTCACTTCTCCTTTTCGTAATCGCTGAAACCACTGTATTAATGGTATAGTACAGGTGTTGGAGTGGCGCGGATGATGTAAAGGATATCGACGCGAGAAGTGAATTAGCCATTTCCCGCTCGAATCTGTTTAGTTCATTTCGCGCTAACGTCGCTGGAAAAGGCATGGATGCAACTCCAGCTATAGGTTAAATAGCGGGGCAGATTGAACTCTCTTGCCTTGAGGTGACAACCAGTCCAGGAGAAGGAAATTTCGGAATTCAAAACCAGCCTGAAAAGCGATGGGTTCCGTCAGACTATCTTGCCCTCGACAAACCACTGTTGCTATGGCTGCAGAACACATGGTGTTTCTACGACCTTAACGGGTTACCGGACTCGTAGACCTGGACAGGAGGTATCGGAAAACTACTGCTTGCATGCTAATTCCGACTCGCTGTGACATCCCACTAGAAAACCCGTATAGAATATGTCATTGTCTTCAAATGATAATTTTTGAACTATTTTTTCCATTAATCTTACGTATAAAACTTTAAAAAGAAATGTCTGTTCTTTAGATATTATTAGACCATCCATAAATCTGTTTGGTTTCCTTTCAACGTGATTACTGATACAAAATGATGAAGTAATATTATTAATTACACATCTTAATTTGTATTTAAAGAAGGTTTATTATTCCACTCGGCTTAATAGTTAACACATTGCGTGAAAATTTAGAGTAATGGCTTAAAAGTCTAGTCTTTTTTTTTCAAAATTATAACTATATTTTTTATTGATTATTAGTTAATAATAAGTAAAAAAAATTGTAATTCCATAATGAATGAAAAGCACAAATATACAATAAATTATTAATGCAAATATATCCTGTTTTACAATATGAAAATGAATTATTTTACGATACCAATAGGTATATGTTTTAGTTCTTTACATTAAAAGAGAAATTCCTTCCATAAAATGTACTTTGAATACAAAATTAATAATTAACAATGAAGACATTAAAAGAAGGTTTATTGATCCATTGGGCTTTATAGTTAACACATTGCGTGAAATTTGGGGTAATAGCTTAAAACAGGTGTAATCTTTTTTCAAAATAATAAGTATATTTTTTATTATACATACTTGTTCTTCCTCGCATTTAATTCAAGATACGTATCGGCAGCAAATCAGCGTGCATCTATTTTATTTATTTATCATCAAGTCAAGTGATACATATAGCCACTTCACCTTTCAAGTAGTTGTTTATAAAAAGTTTTAATGTAGTGAATTGTATAAATATATGTTGTGTTATACTTAAATTTATTTAATAACGTTCGCATAATCCATTGTGAATGTTTATTATTTATCACACATAATATAGTTAATAATAATATAGTTAATAATAATATAGTTGGTAATATAATATTGTTGTGGCCTTGTTAGGGCCAGAAATAAAGACACAAAGAGAGGAATTGAGTGAAATTTGTACTTCTTATCAAATTTTGATGAGAAGTACAAATTTTGAACTATAGTTTAACTGAGTTTTATATCTGAAAGAAAAAAAGAAATTGATTCATCCACGTTGGTTCTTCATTTATAAGAGTGAGAAGTGCGATAGAAGAAACTATTAACATAGAATTTACGGCTACATCTAGCCAGTTCAAAGGTAAATTGATGAGATCTCAACGCCAGTCTAGTACTGCGCTTAAATTCAAAAAGTGTAGATACCACAACGAAGAGCTCATGCGAATAAATTACCATGAAAATATTTATTGAAAGGACACAGAGAGGCAACCTTGTGGCAGTAGGAAAGTGACTGAAGCCGAGCCGCCAGATCAGAGCCAATAATATTGCTGATTCTTACTGGTAAAAGAATTTTGTTAGAGTCCACGTTTATTCACATTAGAAGACATTGATTAATGTTTGGAAACAAATGATTAAAAACATATTGTTCATAAAAAATCATAAATACTTATGATCTTGTTCACTTCCCAAAAGGTTTTTCGAACACTGCTCTGATACAAGGCCAGTTTTAACACTCTAACATCAGGCAGCAGTCTAGTGTAGGGCTTCGTAGTAATAGTACCAGACCACGGAAGCAACAGTCTAGTAAGAGGCCATAGACTTAACGGTATAGTCCTGAGTTTCAATGGGAGAGTACAAGGTCCCTATCTTATCAGTCTAATTCTTGAGTACATTAATAATCTACAGGGCGCCCAGTAAAAAAAAAGCAGTAAATTCAGAAAGAAATGTATTTAGCTACCATGATTCTTGCACAAACTGAATAGTTATCGTAAATGTTCGAAATCTTTTCCTGAACGTTTAACACCAAGTCCTAAGCGCGGTAAGCAGGAGGCAGTAGCTTTGTGGGTAGTGTCCAGAGGAATTTCATTCCAAGTTTCAGTTAAGTTCCACTTTCAATGAGGCACGGAGAACTAATGCATAGCGGTTCGGATTGAGGAATCGGAGGGCCAAGTTCGAACTCTAGTCGGATCCATTAGAACGCCGATTTTGCATGTGAGTTAAGAGTATACTCCAGATAGAGTAATCCATAACATTCAAATCTGGGCTTTTTTGGTGGGGTGGGGGAGCACTGACATGGACCAATTAGAGCTGGTGTATTTTCTGGAAGAATGCCGCTTTTTTTTTCTTTTTCTTTTTTTACTGGTATCAGGCCACAATAGCAATAGTCTAGTCAAAGGCCACAGTATCAACGGTTTGGTACCAGTCTACAGTTTTAACGGCCCAGTACAAAGAGATATAGTAATAATCTAGTGCCAGACTACAGAAGCAATATTATACTCAGGGCCGCCGCTTAAAACCCACGGACTCAACGACCAAGGGGGACCGATTGGAGTCTTTAGGCAATTCTTTGTGACCCTTGCTAACTTATCTTTTTTCTACTTACATTTATATACGTTACGAATTAAACTAAACACAACTATTAAAGGATTAATTTTTTTTCAGATTTTGACGTCATTATCTGGTCTTTTTTCGTCCAAATCCGTGAATTTATTTTTCTTATGCTGTATATCTATATACTTATAATGAAAAAAAAACACTATATAAAATTCACTATTTTTTTTATTTATAATGTTGAATGTGTGAAATTATTCGACTTTTTAACGGGAAAAATCTTAAGTTGATATTAATAATTGCTGCAAATCATTGTAGATTTATTTAAAATGGAATTATGTATTATGACATAATTCTAATTTGATGCATTGTATTTATTTTTAATTTTTCTATTTGAATTGCATATGATCAATTATTGTATATAATTAGATTACAATAAAATTTGTATTTTATATGAATATTACCCCATGAAATTTGAGATATATTAGAGTGTTAGGACCCTTGCCATAGATTAGCGGGTGGGGGTGTGTGTTGTACGAAACCCTTGCACTTGGGTCTACTAAAAGGCTAAAAGACTTAACGGTCTAGTACAGGTTCAAAATACCAATAGTACCTTCCCAAAGTAACACAAATCCATAATCTTAAAAGTCGAAATCGTGGTCACAGTAGTACTTATCTAGAACAATACCAGTTTTAAGAGTCTATTATCAAGTCGCACTTAACGGTCTAGTATAGTTTTACTAGCCGTTAAGTTGGTTGATTGTTTTTATTTAGCGACATATCAACACCTCTGTGGGTTATTTAATACCAAAATCTAAATATTGTTAAGCGTAATTTTTGACGGGGGGGTAATAATAGTTTTAGTGATAAAGACTTGAATCACTAAGTAAGACTTGTATTAACCCATAGCTTGAGGGAGAAGAGATGGATTCATACCTTTACCAGAAGTGGCGTGTTTTGGGCAAGAGAGCCTGATGGAGCCCAACCCACTCTAGGCTGGTTTGAATTCAGAGTTTTCCTTCTCCTAGACCAGTTGCAAACCAAGGCTATAGAAACCAGTCTGGGGATAAAAAGAGGTGGATTCATACAACTCCCAGGGGTATGTAAGTGAATATAACGATCCCAATAGGAACTGGAACTCGGCTCTCTGATTCCTCAATTTATTATCGATTATCTTTTACACCACCCGCACACCCTGGTATACCCATATGGTCACCCATCAAGGTACTGACCAGGATCGACGTTGCTTAACTTAGGTGATCGTACGGGAACCGGTGTTTCAACGTGATGCAGCCGTAAGACTTAGCAGTCATTAATTCACGGTAAGGTACTCAATATTTAACTTAGCTTTGACTACTTAGACAATCGCACTCGTGTGAGTCATCCCACAAAGATCGAACTCTCTACTGTAATAATGGTCTTTAAAATACGTTCTGTTCTATGAAAATTTTATGAGGCCAATACAAAATTGTTTAAAGGTAAATAAATGAAAACGATAGAATGGTTTCAAATAATGAATAAGTAAAAAAGAAATTATTGGGAAAATACTACTCTCTGTCCCTTTCACTACTTGAAACAAAGACATTTTAAACCAATGACGGGTCTTTTTCTTAATAAGCCTTGTTTCTGAGCCTGATTATGGCGACGCTGTGCCTGGTTCAAGCCAATAAAAAAAGAACGTTCATGAAAAAAGAAAGAGAAAACCCTTGAGAAGAGAGATCCTCCTCTGGATTACTTTTTAATCAAGCAGAGGAAAGTAATTTAAAACCTCTGATAATTTTGAAAGATGTTTTTTGAGCTTAATATAAAGGAAAAAAACATCTGGTTTAATTACTATTCATTCACGACAGGAATCTGAGTGGATAGTCAGGACAGATGGTACCAGAAAATCAATTAACATTTAAACAATGGGAAAAAAAGACGCTGGGCTTCGAGATATAACGTGGTCAACCAGCTTTTCTAGGCATTGCACAAAATTTAAAACATAATTTTAAACTTGTTCATATGAAATTGCTTTCAAGCAGACCAAGTCTTTCTTAATGATACAAGACAACACGCTCGCTGCAACTATAATACTACAAGGGAAGTTTACCAAATACGACATTCACTCGGCAACACCTTCTATTCGGACACTCCCGCTGTGTTGACCTGTCAACTTTGCTGACACTTTCTACCAAATATATTTTTTAAACTTTAGCAACTAATGTAAGTACCCACTTTCTTATGAACATTTTTCCTACCTAGCTTAATCTTTTAGGCGCTGAAAAGATTTTGAGCAAGCCTCAAAACCTTTCTTCTTTTGCATTAATTATTATAAATAAACAAACTCTGCTTCAATTTCAGGCTGAGTAGGAGTCATTTTTTATTGCACGTTTAAAAAGATAACTAAGTTATATTTCCTTTATCATGTGAGTAAAATCCCCGTAGAAGGTATAATTTTATGTGCTTTTAACACCACAAAGCTTTTTCTTAAAACATTAATTTTTATAGCAGAAAAGTTAGAAAAAAGAAAACATGATGATTTCGTTAGTTTCAGTGAAAAAAATGAAAGAAAGTGTTTAATGTCTCCTAATACCTCATAAATAATGGACTATTCCGTTTTGATCGCGTGGAACGACAAGCCATTTCAGAGACGCTCTTGATTGTTATTGAAATATTTTGTTAAAAGTTGTTACGCTCAAATATTTAACGATGCGATAGGGGAATTTCTACAGGTATTTTATTGCTGTAGAAGTCGCCATGTGCTTATTCAACCATTAACTGAAGAATTAAAAATAAGAAAATCGTGAAATTTTCACAACTTAAAACGAGTTAATTGAATTCATTAATTCTAGATATGTATGTGTGTGTGAGCGTGTGTGAGTTTGAGTGTGTGTGTGTGCATGTGTTAGGCTGTATGTGTGCGTGTGCTAGGGTGTATGTGTAAAGTTTTTATAATCATCGACTCTACACAGTTATCATTCCCTTTATAAAAGTTTCAAAAAAGTTGTATTTAAATTGCAAATACAACCTGCCATTGAACTGTTATGAATTATTCAGACATTTTTTTTTTTTTTTAGCAGCTTTTATAGTCGCTTTACAAAATCAAATCTGAGTCGATGCAAGGATCGGACCGGTTGGATTTTCACGAGACAGTTTTGTAAACAACCTTGATGTTGATTCTTTTCTTATGACTCATAAATAATAAGTCTATTTGACGTGTTCGCCGATGTTACTCTCACTTCTTTTATGACTTCTACACTCTTCTTTTCTTCATGTCTGTCTGTTTGTCGATTAGTCTTTTATCTACATGGACGCGTTCAATTTTTCCCAGCTTACATCAGTCAATCATGCTTTCTTTCTTTGACTCCCTCTCTCCTATAATAATATCTCTTTATTACCCTCACCAACAGTTCTCTCTCATTACGTCTTTCTTTCCACCTTGTTTTCCCTCTTTCTCTCTATCCCCCTCTCTTACGTAAATCATTATCACCTTTCTTTTCTCAGACACACTCTCTTATTACATCTTTTTTTCCACCTTGTTCTCGCACTTTCTCTCTATCCCTCTCTCTTACGTAAGTTATTATCGTCTTTCTTTTCTAAGACACACTCCCTCTCATTGCTTTCCCCCTTTCTCTTTATCCTCCTCTCTTATGTAAATCATTATCATCTTTCTTTTATCGACCACACTCTCTCATTACATGTTGTTCTTATTCTCTCTTCTTTTCTCCATATCTCCTTCTCTCTCACGAAAAAAAAACTTTTTATTGTTAAAATTGTTATGTTTTTTCTTTCCTTTTTTCTGTCTTTCTTTCTTCCTCTCTGTTAATCTTTCCATTTTTATCACCATCGTCGAAACCGTCATCTCTTTCTTTTCATACAATATTCTCTCCCTCTTTTCTCTCTCTTTTTCTCTCACTCTTCCACTCTCTCTCTCTTTCTCCTCTATCTCTTTTTCTCTCTCTTTATCTCTCTTTTTCTCTGTCTTTCTCTTGTTTTTTTGTTTGCGTGATTCCCGTGTTGAATGTTTGCTCCTATAAGAATGCTTTTAAAACGATTTTTCTATTCTTTTCTTTATAAATTTATGGTAGCTGAAAAGAGTAAAAAATAGAGTATAAGACCATTGGAGAGTCAGTTTTTAATGCATTTGATGATATTTTTTTTGTCTCCCAATACCTATGAAAAAACTGACATTCTTTAATTTGATATCTTTTTATTTTTCCGGTCGACTTTTTACTTCTTTCCAGCTTTCATTATTTTTTAAAGTAAATATTTACTTTACTTTAACGATCACTTTTTCGTCTCTCTTTCTTCTTCTTCTTCTTCTTCTTCTTCTTCTTATTATTATTATTATTATTATTATTATTATTATTATTATTATTCCTCCTCTTCTTCTTCATCTTCTTCTTCTTCTTCTATTCCTCCTCCTCCTCCTTCTTCTTCTAGTCCTCCTCCTCTTCCTCCTCCTTTTTCTTCTTCTATTCCTCCTTCTTCTTCTTCTTCTTCTTCTTCTTCTTATTATTATTATTATTATTATTATTATTCCTCTTCTTTTTCTTCTTCTTCTTCTTTTCCTTTTCCTTTTTTCTTCTTCTTCTTCTTCTTCTTCTTCTTCTTCTTCTTCTTCTTCTTCTTCTTCTTTAATGCTTTTAATTCACGACGTCTTGTTGAATAAGACTGCCGGCAGAGGTCAACAATCACGTGATCAAAATATGGTGGATATTATTGTTTAACAATAGTTGAAAAAATATTTCCTTCTTAAATTATAAACTCGTAGAGAAATAGAACGATGATCCGTATACAAATATTTCGTGAGACATTAGGTGTGTACAGGTAGCCATGCAGTTCATAATAAAAATAGGGCATAAGGTCTTGCTGGAGAGTCGACAACAATATAGACGTAAAAAGACAGAGATAGATAGATAGATAGATAGATAGATAGATAGATAGATAGATAGATAGATAGGAAAAGGAAAATAGATAGAAGAGAGAAATAGATAGATAGATAGATAGATAGATAGATAGATAGATAAATAGATAGATAGATAGATAGGAAAAGAGAAATAAAGATAGATAGATGATAGGAAAAAGAGAAATATAAATAGATAGATAGATAGATAGATAGATAGGAAAAGAGAGAAATATAGATAGATAGATAGATAGATAGATAGATAGATAGATAGGAAAAGAGAGAAATATAGATAGATAGATAGATAGATAAGAAAAGAGAGAAATATAGATAGATAGATAGATAGATAGATAGATAGATAGATAAGAAAAGAGAGAAATATAGATAGATAGATAGATAGATAAGAAAAGAGAGAAATATAGATAGATAGATAGATAGATAGATAGATAGATAAGAAAAGAGAGAAATATAGATAGATAGATAGATAAGAAAAGAGAGAAATATAGATAGATAGATAGATAGATAGATAGATAGATAGATAGATAGATAGATAGATAGATAGATATGAATAACCTGTCGTAGATAAATAGAAAGATATATGAGCAGTATGAGATAGATATATAGATAGATAAGTATGAACAGACTGACATAGATAGATAGATAGATAGATATGAATATACTGAGATAGATAGATAGGTAGATAGATAGATAAGTACTAATATTAGATAGATAGATAGATAGATAGATAAGTATTAATATTAGATAGATAGATAGATAGATAAGTATTAATATTAGATAGATAGATAGATAGATAGATAGATAAGTATTAATATGAGATAGATAGATAGATAGATAGATAGATAGATAGATAGATAATAAGTATTAATATGAGATAGATAGATGATAGATAAGATAGATAGATAGATAGATAGATAGATAAGTATTAATATGGGATAGATAGATGGATAGATAGATGAAGAATTAATATTAATATGGATAGATAGATGGATAGATAGATAGATGGATTAATATAGATAGATAGATAGATAGATAGATAGATAAGGATGGATGAGATAGATAGATAGATAGATAGATAATATGGATATGGGAGATAGATAGATGGATAAGTATTAATATGAGATAGATAGATAGATAAGTATTAATATGAGATAGATAGATAGATAGATAAGTATTAATATGATAGATAGATAGATAGATATGATAGATAGATAGATAAGTATTAATATGAGATAGATAGATAGATAAGTATTAATATGAGATAGATAGATAGATAGATAAGTATTAATATGAGATAGATAGATAGATAAGTATTAATATGAGATAGATAGATAGATAAGTATTAATATGAGATAGATAGATAGATAGATAGATAGATAAGTATTAATATGAGATAGATAGATAGATAGATAGATTAATATGAGATAGATAGATAGATAGATAAGTATTAATATGAGATAGATAGATAGATAGATAAGTATTAATATGAGATAGATAGATAGATAGATAAGTATTAATATGAGATAGATAGATAGATAGATAAGTATTAATATGAGATAGATAGATAGATAGATAGATAAGTATTAATATGAGATAGATAGATAGATAGATAGATAGATAGATAGATAAGTATTAATATGAGATAGATAGATATGAATAACCTGTTGTAGATAAATAGAGAGATATATGAACAGTATGAGATAAATATATAGATAGATAAGTATGAACAGACATAGATAGATAGATAGATAGATAGATAGATAGATAGATAGATAGATAGATAGATATGAATATACTTAGATAGATAGATAGATAAGTATGAACATAATGAGATAGATAGATAGATGGATGGATGGATGGATATGAACAGACTGAGAGAGGGGGGTTAGGGAAGGAGAGAGACAAACTTACATTGAAAATCGAAATTTTTTCTAATCATGCATGAGTTATTTGAAAAGCTAACCAAATATTCAACATCATTTGATTGGAAAAATAACAGTGGCTAATCGATACACAAGAAAATGATGCCAGACAGGCACTCCCAAAATGCTAAAAATGCTAAAAGTCATCTTTTCTATATTTCTTCCTAATTTAGAAATATTTTGGTAGAAAATTGATCTTTTAGAAATGTCAGACTATACTCCAACCCTCAAAAATATTTTCTTTCGCTTTCCTCGCTTTCAAATATTTTACGTGGACGTTTATATATCTACCATTCCACCGTGCATTGAATATTGCTGTCATATCTGGTCTGGTACTCTTGTTATATATCTCTGGATCAGCATTTCTCAACCGCGGTTCCCCGAAAACCTTAGGTTCCGCAAAAGGTCCCCAAGGGTTCCGCGAGATGAAGATTATAAACGAACAGTATGAATTTTATTTAGCATTACCGAAAAATTTGACAAAGAAGTATTAATTTTTCCTTAAACCAGTTATTCAAAACTATATACTATGATATTTACCACGTGAACTACGATGAGAATAAAATGAGAAAGATATGGTATATAATTTTGTCTTTGCGTAGGGGTTCCTTGAGACATGTAATTTATTTTAAGGGTTACGCAAGGGTAAAAAGGGTGAGAAACGCTGCTCTACATTCTTAACAAATTTCAAAGAAGAGTCTATAATGTAATCGATCCTGGCCTGTTATCGTGGCTTCAGTCACTTTCTCATCAATGTTGTGTCGCTTTCCTCTGTTATTTTTTTTTCTACAAATATTTCCATGGCAGTTGTTCTGACGAATTCTCCTAATTGGTGCCTCGTCTGCATGAATTAAACATTCTACTAGACTGGTCATTAGGTCTCAATGTTTTATTGTTGAACTAGCTATAGGTGCAATTGTATGTTCTATTCTAATAATTTCTTTCCTTGCCCGTGGAACTGATTCCCAGCTACTTGCAATTTTCAAAAATTTAGATGCAACGTCAATCGCTATCTTCTGTCTTTCTGAACCTGTTCTTTTATTGTCCTTTCTCTTCATTAAAGTTTTCTTTCATTCTCGTCCACCCCACAATAAGTATTTGTATCCTATTGGCATTATTGCCTTACTTGGGGTGAAATGATTAAAAAAAACAAGATTTTTTTCGGACATTTACCTTATTTTATTTAGTACAGTGTATTAGTAAAATATTTGCTCACATCTGTTATATTCTTTAAAATGATGTAAATATTTTAATTATTTTCTGATTCCATCAACTTTATTAAATGAAGTTGGTTAGTTAAAAATATAAAAAATTAATTCCTTGTTTACACTATTTACATAATTCCATTTATATAACTCCTTGTGTCTAATGATATTATTTTACTGGAAGATGATCAATTTAAAAATCTATATACAGAGGCCTGCAAAAGTAGGTTAACAGTATTGATGTGTTTGTGAAATCAATACAATATGTTTTGTTTTTCATTACTGTATACCTACTTTTGCATCCGCTCTCTCTCTCTCTCTCTCTATATATATATATATATATATACTGAAGTGGACATTAATGTCACCACCCAGATGCGGCAGTCTGTTTCATGCTAAAAACGCAATCGTTTATATTTTAACCAAAGATATATATATATATATATATATATATATATATATATATATGAAGAAATATAGTTCTAAGGTGTGTTACATTTATCGGATAAAGTGCTTACTATCAGGGATAGAGCGTATGTAAATATAAAAGTGAATATTGAAGTCAACACTCAGAGGCGACAGGTTGTGTCATGTTAGACGCAATCGTCAGACCGCGATGATTGCGTCTCGCATGAAACAGTCTGTCGTCTCTGAGTGTTGACTTCAATGTTCACTTTTATATATATATATATATATATATATATATATATATATTAATCGCATAACAGAGAAATCCAAAATTACCTCATAAGCCTAACGTATTGGGCGTTAGTTGAAATAGTCTATACTCATGATGTAATTTTGGAATTCACTGTTATATAATTTATATGCTCTGTTATGATAAATACACTGAGGTCTTTCTGTGGATAAGTTCTAATATTTTATATTATTAGGATCCACTTGGATTATATACCAACGAATTTATTACCTGTACTGTATATATATATATATATATATATATATATATATATATATATATATAGTGTACCCGGATATAAGAGAGTTGTCGGGACCGGAGAAGAAGTCTCTTATATCCGGGTTTCTCTTATATCCGGGTTTGGTCTATTTTATATACATTAACACAGGCTCTAATTTGGGACCAGAGAAAATCTCTTATATCCGGGTTTCTCTTATATCCGGGTTACACTGTATATAGTTTAAATAAAAACAGACCACTTTAAGGTTCCATGTTATAAATTATTTCACCACAGCCCTTTTAAAGGACTAAGTATCATCAGACTTTACTTCCAAACCAAATTGAGCTCTCTGGATTTTATCCTCCTTAGGTTTACCCATACGGATTACCTAGTTTTTCATAAACTAACTATCTATCTATCTATCTATATATATATATATATAAACCGATAACTTTATTTTTCATTTGTAGGCATTTTTTTTTTATTTACCCTTTTCTTCTTTTATGTGCCTTGTCCCATCGGACATATATTATTAATATTTTCATTTTTTTTTTATGTTTAAGTTAAGGCTAGGGAACTCTAACCCATATGAAAAATTTGGAATAGTCCGGGTACTCGGTGTATCTGGAGTTTTGGAAATGGATTGGTCTGGTAAGTATATTAATGACCATTTTTTTTAACTTTTTTAACTTACTTACTTACTT